CAGTCCATGATATGATATGTATGCATTTAAAATTTGTTTAATCTCCTCTGCATTTCTAACTAATAATTTGTTCAGTGCTTCTCAGGAAAACAGTTTTAATACTGCGAGAATTACCCTATTTAAAATAAAAAAGAATAAATAGATAAAGAAAGAGGGAAATGCGAAAGAAATATTATTAACATGTTTGATGTGTTTACAAGAACACTGTTTTAAATGGGTGCCCATTCAACAAATATCCAACAAATAGTATCTTATTGGTCCCTATCCTGGTAAGGAATATGTATGTTGGTGATTTTTTTAATGACATAACAATGCTCCATCCTGCCGAGAAATTGTGTATTTGAGAAAACCAAACAGGTTATTATTCGCATCCTTCATCAGCAACTTGGATGAGAAATGATCTGAATATGTTTAACCTTTTCTGACCTGAACGTACACACGAAGTTACAGCTGTTTCTTGGCCGACTTTTACCGCAGCTACATGTACAATTTACCCCAAAATGGTCTAGATTTCTTACACATCAATATCTTCTTGTCTCTTTTTCGCACTTATATTTAATTGTAGCAGGAGACAGGGGAAACAGCAGAAGAAGAAAACTCTACCGAATTTAACCCGTGCTCCTTCGGGATATGACCCAAAGGATCACCAATACGAAGTCCCCGGGCCATTGGAGACGGGGATGACCACATCTATGAAGGTCTTCAGAGAACAGAAAGCAGCATAAACAAAGAATCGTCTTACTTGAGCATTGATAATACAGACAGAGTCGAATATGTAAATACGAACATTTAACATCAAGGTGCTAACATGAGATGGAGTCTATTCGACGTCCAGTACTTATATCTCATTCTACGTAGAGCACAATGCAAAGACTTCCGAAATAAATCAACCAAAAGTAAATGCAGTAACCTTGCCCATCACCCATTGGAGTGTGCTATAAAATTGCAAAGACGTATTATGTAATCCAAACGTGATATCTTTTGGGGTTCTAGGACACCTACCCCTGGACAACCACCCCGGATAACTACCCCCAGTCAACTACCCCAGACAAGTACCCCAGACAAGTACCCCCTACGGCAACCATCCTCTAGGACAACTACCCCCTGACAACTAATCTAGGGGTAGTTGTCTAACCCTACTATAGCTTTGATCAGACCAAAAATGCGGGGGGGGGGGGGGGGTAAGCGGACATTTTGTTTTGTTTTGGGGAGTCAAAAAAAAATCGCAACGACTCAGCCAGCCGAAAAGTCGCTCAGTGGGGGGGGGGGGGGGGGGGGAAGTAAGAGGACAATTTTTTTTTTTTTTTTTGGTCTCGAAATTTGAAAAATTGACATTTTGCTCCGTTGGGGGGGGGGGGGGGGGTAAGGTCACCTTTCTTAGGTCAGCCAAGGGGGGGGGGGGTTTAGGGATTTTTTAGGGGGGTTTACACACATAAAAATACCAAAGGGGGGGGGGTTAACCCCCCAAACACCCCCCCCTGCGTACGCGCCTGATGCTAATACATGTATAAATCTTTCTTAGACTTTTGTATGTTGTCTTACAGTCTTGAAATCTATAAAAAAAAAAGGAGATAACATTTCTTTGTAAATTTGTTTAAAGAATGCGCTTGATAATAATATCATGCTTGCTATTTCCTACGATATTATTTTTGCTTTTATATTAAACAATTGTTTCATGTCCTCAACAGCTATTTTATCCTCAATTCTGCATTGCTTGAAGTTTCACAGAAAATGATTTCATTTGGTGCTCAAAATAAATTGGACGTCTTGTTATATCTTTTGTTTTATTAAATTAGCAAGTCCATGTAAGCCAACATGATCATTCAACTAGATTTGCCAAAAGTAATTTCATAACCTTTTTTCAATACTTGTTTTTGATTCTACGTTTGTTTTGACGGCTTATATTCCTTTGGATCTCACTTCGTATGTCATTTTAGATATACATTTATTATATGAGAGATTCGTGACAGCATACTTCTGCGAACAGTTTGTGTCAAGAATATGAGACATAATTTAGCTGGACTGTACATACATACATCTTTCAGAATAATCGGTGATCTGTTACTTTTAAAAGTATGGTTAACATGTTTGCGACATGTGTAGGGCCCCTAAAAAGAGGAAATGCTACAGATAATTTATGTGCATTTTTTTCTTCACATTTTTTGCTGGTCATTTTATGCGGGTCATTTTTTGCTGGTCAGTTTTCTCGCTGTCAATTTGGTTTTTCTGGTCATACTCTGAAAATTGTATGTGCAAATGCAAATTACATTTCAAATAAAATGTACAATGACATATGTTCGACTTGTATGTATAATTCATTCATGCACAATATGTTATACGTGGATGTATAAAATAAATATATCATGGTTTAGATTTACGTGCGTGTGTATGTGTGTGTATGTGTGGGTGTGTGTGTGTGTGTGTGTACGTATGCGTGTGTGTGGGTGTGTTTTTGTGTGTGTATGAGAGAGAGAGAGAGAGAGAGAGAGAATGAGGGTGTGAGTGAGGGTTACATGTGGGTATGCGTCTTTATGCGACGATCCTAGGAAATATCGACGTTGTTTTAATGAGTACGATAAAATCAATTCAATTCAATCTAATTTATTTAAGTCCATTTTGTACATTGTGGAGAACGTAATTACATGTAGGATACGCTTAAACATTGAACTTTAAACACAAAATTAAATAGAGAAGTAAAGACAAGAGTAAGAAATAAACATGTTTACAGCAAAGAAATAGATAATGAACATGAAATGGGAAATTGCAAAAGAAACAAAGGTTCTGTCGAGGCAGAAAACCATAGTGACATTATGGCCAAAAAAAAAGTTTAAAAGTTATAAAATTCATTAAAGTTTGGATGGATTAATTATTTGTAGAGTACGTAAATAAAAAAAACATAAGTTTTGATTTAAAAGAATTAAGAAATGAAATTGTTTTATCATAATGAGAAAAAAAGTTTCATATTGAAGGTCAATTTGATTTGAGAGAAAAAGATGATGCTGTATCTTTACATTTTCTACATAGTAATTTTCCTGATTTCTAGTATTATAATCTTGCTGTTCTGTTTTACATTTAATAATAAAGGCCAGATTATATGGTATTTTTAATGTATATGTTATGTTAAGACAATTAAAGAGATACAGAAGTCAATCAATTGATAGATAGTGAGAAGATTAAGTTTTTAAAATAGTGGTTTTTAAATCGCACAATCTAAACTGGCTCACTTTAACAAAAAAATGAAAAAGGAGAAATACCTTTATTATAAATTGTGTACATGTAATTATATCGTTATGTTTTTATCGGGAAGGTGGAACGCGGTCTTTGTTATAATAATGAGGCGGAGACATTTACGCACAAATTTCAGGAACATAATTAATTCGGACAAATTGGAAGAAATTCTTCATTCCAGGGATAATACCCTATAAGGAGAGGGGCAGGACAATTTTTTTGTCATGTGGACTTTAGAGGTGTTAGTAGAGGTGCCGCGTGGTCTAGTGAATACGTCACGGGACTGTGGATTACATGGATCGCGGTTCGAGTACCGCTGCGGCACTAATGTCCTTTGGCAAGACATTTATCCAGTAAGGAAAAGAAACAAAAAATGAATATTATAGGTATAAGTATCGGTCTATTTATATCACACATCATAACAATGATTTTAACATACTGTAACGGACCAGTACGTTACAGTTAGTTATCTTGCAGGAAACGTAGAGGGCGTAGCAAGCTTTTGGGGCGTAAGAGCTCAGAGCGCGATTACGGACGCACAATGCGTAAAGCAGCTCTCGGAAACTATAAATTGCTGTGTTTCACGGTGATTTCTTCACTTCGACGCTGGCTCTCGTCGTTGTCAGATAGCGAACTCTCCGCTCCGCTCCGCTCCAACTGAGTTAAAAAAAGGAAAAAGATTGGAAACGAGAAATAGAGTTCCTACAAAAGGCAATCCCTGCCTTTACTACTTGTTGAGATTAATTCAGGTAATCTGTGTCGGTGTTAACTATGATAACGTGTTGGAGATGTTGACTTATGTTTGTATGATTAAAGTATACAGTTAAACAGGCGCGTACGCAGGGGGGGGGGGGGTGAACCCCCCCCCCCCTTTGGTAATTTTATGTATGTAAACCCCCTAAAAAACCTAAACCCCCCCCCCCTTTTGATTTTTTTTTTTTTTTTTTTATAGAAAAAAATTATGCCTACGGCCGACCTAAAAAAGGTGACCTTATCCCCCCCCCCCCCAACTGAGCAAAATGTCAAATTTCCAAATTTGGAGACCAAAAAAAAAAAAAAAAAGTGTCCTCTTACCCCAGGGGGGGGGGGGGGGGGCCAACCCCCAAAAAAGGTAAAAATCACGTGATTTTACATGATTTTTTTCTCAAGGGGGGGGGGGGGCCCTGGATCCGCCACTGGAACCGGTACCCGAAATCGACCGTTGTTTTGGGGGGATTGCACGATGAGTGGAGATGATACCGCGCTGTGTGATGCGTGTGATTGAAAAATACAAATATATAAACACGGTTAGAATACGCTCTACATCATTATTATGTTATACCAGTGACCTTATTCCTTGTTTCATTGTATGTAACATCGTCGATTAGCACGGGATTCGAATTTGTTTTTTTGATCGCAGCGACTTTGAAAACAAAGCGTGATATGTGCCGAGACGGAAAACATTAAAATAAATATACATGTTGGTGCATATTTATCAACAAATGACTCGTCTACAGTATCAATAAGCGTGTCTGCAACCTTATTGCATGTTTGACTTCACTATGAACATGACGAACAAAGAAAGCGGACAAAATATACAGTTCCTCAGGTAGACAAAGGAACATCCCTTCACTGCTATTATGTAAAAAGGTGAATATGCATGTAATACCTGTTCTACACATTTTTCAATAATAGCAGTGAAGGGATGTTCCTTTGTGTACATGAGGAACTCTATATTTTGTCCGCTTTCATTGTCAGTCATGTTCATAGTGCTTGTAGACATAATAGTTCATTTGTGTTGCGCCTTCGTCAAAGTCGATACGATGTTTGTGGGAATTGTCATTTTAGTGCTGAATATTTTCCGAAGTGGTAAGAGTTGATTTCGTTTTAATCTAGTCCTTTTTTATTAATTATTGTATACAATTATTTTACACAAACACCTTCAGAATATTTTAGTCACTAAAAATAAATGTAACGTTAAGAAGATTGTTAAGGGTTCTGTTTATTACCCACATACTTTGTCATTGCTGAGATTATTGTTAAGATATGAATATGTTAGCTAAGAAAACAATACTATAAGCTGGAAGAATTGTTGAATATACTTTAATTTTTAGCCTATGCTATGTTATGTTTCACTCATTTATTGAGTTATTAATGTAAATATGTATTGAAATAATGAAAATGAAAACCTCGCTTGAGGATGAGAGGAAACAAAATATATATTTTAGTCACTGTAGGATAGAAACCTCGAGTTAACAATTGGAGCGCAATATGGTGTTAAACAAGGCCTATATTAATCTTGATGACCATTAATTAATCATGGTCTCACTGCAAAGTATTTTTATGGCTTGGGTTCCGTAATATGTCTCTTAAAGATCGCAAACAGTTTTCTTTGTTGTAAACAGTTTTTCTTGTCGCAAAGAAATTTTGAACACGTTCAAAATTTCTTTGCGAATTTATTTTTCCGCAAACAGTTGCAGGCGTTTGCAAAACAGTCGTTAGCGTTTGCAAAACAGTCGTAAGCCTTTGCAAACGGTTGTTAAACGGTTTTGCTCTTTGTTTTCGTCAGTTCTCTGTGTTTCGCCAAAGCTAGCGACCACGTTACCATATGGTTAGTTAGCAAAAGGTCTCAAACGTTCACAAATAGTGGCAAAGGATTGGCAAATAGTTGCTAATCTTCGCAAAAGTTGTCGCTAACATTAGTTTACAGTCGCTAATAGTCGCCAACTGCCTTTCGCAAACACTTTCGGAGACATTCGCTCAAATGTTGCTAATTGTCGCTTAACGTCACTTAATGTCGCTGATTTTCGCCAACATTCGTCAGAAAAGTTGGCGAATCCAAATTCGCAACGTTCGCAAGCATTCGCTGCTCAGTGAGATAGGCCCTTACTGCAAATAATGTGAATTGGCTCCAAAAAAAAGGAGAAGAATCCCATAAAACTATCAAGACCATGATATCTTCTCCTTTCCACTTCGATCCGTATAAGGTCCTCACTTCGGTTTCTCTACAAAGCTGCATGTTTTTAGCTCATGCATTAGTGGTATACACTGCACTTGGTTAAGTCAGAATGAGACGGACAATGAACTTGACATGTCTCGTTCTTTATCCTAATGTGACTTAACCTGCATGCAGTGCATGTTCACTAATGCGGTGGTCACAACCCGTCGTATTTGCAAGTGCGTGATGTCTACGTGCAAAAAACGTGGGCAAAATTTGAATATCCGTACGTGGTGAGTACCGCCTCCGTACGGATTTGGGAGCACGCGGACACACCGTAGCACTTTTAGTGCACGAGGAACTTTCGCTGCGTTCGGGCTGCGGTCGGGCTACAGATTCACCCCAGTGCGTGTGACGTGCGTGCCCGGTACTGCAAATGAACGCAAAACGCACAGACTCCGTGCGTCTTTTAAAGGCGCACTTACTCGCCACCTCCCCAGTTCACGTGGACCGTACCGAGTAAGCACTTACAACGCACGTTGTGCACTGATTTATTGATTTATGCATTATATAGTCTCTGCGGTGGAATGGGCGGCATCTTGAGGCAGCAACAGCTGGGACTTCTGGAGAACATCGGAATGTCGTCCTCTCTATAGCCCGACATCGGGCGGAAAAACTTAACGAGTTCATCGCACGTGCACGCACTTACAACGTGCGAGTGAGTAAGCCTAGGACACCGTACGTGAGCAGCACGTACGTGGCAACCGCACGGAGACCGTACGTTGTAAGCATGCACAACGCACTTACCACGTAGGGAGGGAGTGGCGAAGGCAGGGAGGGAGTACCGGCAACGCACGTCACACACAGGTGTAAGTACGTGGCCCGCGTGGTTGCGTGCATCGTACGTTGCGCACGTGGTAAGTGCGTTGTACGTGCTTACAATGTGCTTACAACGTGCTTACAACGTGCTTACAACGTACGGTCTTCGTGCGGTTGCCACGATATCGCACTTGCAAGTACGGCGGGTTGTGACCAACGCATTAAGCACTTGCAAACATTTATCTGTTGTATACTGGTGTGATCTTTGAAACGTGAGAGTTACGACGGACAAAAGGTACTGCAAAATGAACAATACTACTACCTGTATTGGCACAAAAAATGGCCATGCGTGTAATATAACATTTTCCCCATTTAGAACAAGTTTAAAGGCACTCTTCGTACGTCTACAGGTATTAGATGTGCATAATCTGTTTGAGCATTCAGTATCGAAATTTGTATATGACCTGCAGAAAGCGCATTTACCACATTCGTTAATGGATTACTTTGTTGTAATGAATCACATGTATAGAACAAGAGGGAGAGAAAATTTAATGCTACGATTACCTAAATGTAGTACGACACATGGGACTTTTTCAATTTCTTTCAATTGCGCAAAGCTGTGGAATAATTTGCCCATAAATATAAGAGAAGAAAAAACAAGATTATCATTTCGTCAAAATCTCAGAATTATAAGCAGAGATGAATCATATAATATGATATTGAGTCAAAATAAATATTAATATGACTTTGCATACAGTTTTAGAAACCTGGAGAACCAATCCCGACTAGCACTCGTGCTAATTTTTGGTTCTCCCTTTAACAACATTTTAAGTTTTTAAGTTTAAAAATATACTTTATTTGAATCACTTATTGGAACTCTGTGAATTTCAATTGCAGCCACAAATCTCTACGTATTATTAAGTTATAGCTAATTCACAGGTTTGATATGAAATGATATATGATTAATTTAATTTGTACATATGGTTCAGCTATGGAAATTGTCTTTTTCTTTGTAACTCATGTACATGGATATTTTGTTACCCACTTGAATACATTTGTAACATTGTTTTATGTTGTTGTTTTGTTGTTAATAAATTAAAATTCAATTGATAGTAATGGCGTACGGGTTATAAATTGCCTTTACTATTAATATCAATCACAACTCTGTACTAAAAAGAAATGCGACCAACATCAATTGCAAAATATTTGCAATCAATCGCAACGCGGTTGTGAGACATAATCTGGTGTGTTATATGTTATGAGTCATAATGCTCAATGAACATTATAACAGGTTTTTCCTCTTGTTAATTCCTGGGGTCTGGGATCCCTAGGTCTCAACAGAAAGGCTGTCGAATTGAATTTTCTTTCGTTTCTCTCTCTCTCTCTCTTATACAGTATCAGCCGATACATGGCACAGACTTGATGATGCTCTTTATTTAGTGGATAACACCTCACGGTTAAATTATGATGAGGCTCACGCTTACTGCTTAACACGCGGAGCGAATCTCACTAGGATCGACTCGGACAAAATTCAGGTAAAGGTTAAATATTTAGTAGTTATTATCACGCTTCAACTCCGTAACAAAATTAATGACAATTCTACTTTGGTTCTTCGCTTTTTTAATTCAATTCAATTCATTTCAATTTATATCATTTCAATTCAATTCAATTCAATTCAGTTCAGTTCAGTTCAGTTCAATTCAATTCAATTCAGTTCAATTCAATTCAGAAATTTTCCATTTTAAAACAATCATGAACACGAGGGCAAAATGGTGGGATAAGCAAAGTGCTTGCGGGCAGGGTTCCAGCTTTACAAAATTACAAAGTTATAAAATGTTGATCGTTTCAAATTTGGCGTCTGAAATATACTGGAGACTCCAACAAATCAATCGTGATGCGGTGATTACATTTTGATGGTATTTATTAAGTAACGACTTTAACAAGCAACTCCGATTATAGATCTTGGCATAGTAGCGTGTCTTTGAACTTCAAACAACAAAGCAATTTACCTGACTATATTACATCCCCCTTGTTTTTAAAGAAAAGGGTAACGCTAATTTCACTAAGCCTTCTGACCACTTTCTTCCTTTCCCCCTAGCTCCCTTTTCTCCTCTTCCCTTTTCTCTCCTCCCTATTTTCTTCTTCTTTCTCTCTTCCATTTTCTTTCCTTTTCCCCTCCTTTTCTCTCCTTTTTATTCCCCCTTCCCCCTCACCCTTTTTTACGGGGGGGGGGGGGGGGACGTACCCCTGTTATCCCTGAATCCACCACTGGTATAGTTGTATAGATGTACAGTTTCCTGCGTTCTGATTGGTCGGCTGGATAGACGTATAGTCGTATAGTTGTATAGTTGTCCATGGTTGTACGGATAGTGGCATGCTTGGCCCACTATATACCCCGCCATATTTACCTCGACTACCTCTTAATATATATAACACGGCCTTTACCCTAAGGTAACTTTTCCCCGTATGAACAAAACTATAGATGTGTACGTTCTCACGCTCAGGCGCGGATCCAGGTTTTCTTAGGGGGGGGGGGGCAAATTTGAAATTATGCGAGCCAAATATTGGTACGTAATGATGACCAGCAGTGACATTATGCGCGGGGGGGGGGGGGTGGGTGCAGGGAAGGGCGAGTTTCCCCCTCCCTCCTCCGCGAAACGCGGAAGCTTTTACGTTTCATTAAATCATTAGAGAAACAAGACGATTCGTTGTACAGTTCTCCACTCTTAATTCTCGTTTGAATTCAGTTTTTCCACTACCGCGCGAAGCGTGGAAGCTTTGATGTTGCATAAGATTATGAGTTCTCGACGTTTAATCCTTGTCTGAATTCAGTCCCCCTCCCCTCCTGCGCGAAGCGCGGAAGCTTTTAAGATTCATTAAAATCACTAGAGAAAGAAGACGATTCGTTGTAACGTTCTCGAAAATAATCCTCGTCTGAATTCAGTTTCGCCCCCCCCCCTCCCGCGCGAAGCTTGGAAGCTTTTACGCTCCATTAAATCATTAGAGAAACAAGACGATTTGTTGTACAGTTCTCGACTCTTAAAGATAAACTTGAGTTCTGGTAAAAAAAAGAAAATTAATTTTCACAGAATCAAACGAAACTTACACTGAATGTTCAAGATTACAAATAAATGACATGTGCCAAACAATTTTGGAAGAAAATTTATACTGGCTGAGTAATGAGACAAGGAAATCAAGGTAGTACTAGCCCCGACACCATGTGTGTTGTCCCATATATAGCTTTCTGTGTACAGTGCTTGTTACTTTACCAAGACTCGGTCAAATTTATTATGATTTTGATGGCTCCGGAACCTTGCAGTGCACACCAATACTTAGATGCTACATGATCAACTGTTTCTGATCCTTTCCACACCTTTTCTTTCACAATGCAATCGCATTACCAGTACTAAAGTTTATCTTTAATCCTTGTCCGGATTCAGGTTTCCCCACCCACGCGAAGCGCTGAAGCTTTTATGTCTCATTAAATCATTAGAGAAAGAAGACGATTCGTATCACCGTTCTCGACTCTGAATCCTCGTTTGAATTCAATTATTGGTAGCTTTGATGTTTCATAAGATTATGAGAGAAAGAAGACGATTCGCTGTACCGTTATCGACTCTTAATCCTTGTCTGAATTCAGTTCCCCCTCCCCCCCCCCCTGCGCGAAGCGCGGAAGCTTAGACGTTTCATTAAATTATTAGAGAAAGAAGACGATGCGTTGTACCGTTTTCTAAGCTTAATCCTTGTCTGAATTTCAAAGATGTTCTTTGACTGCTCCTTTTTCTCCCTACGTCCTCTTCCTTTTCTCTCCTCTCTTTTTTTTGGGGGGGGGGGGGGGGGTGGGGGGCGGCGGCGGCGTTTTCGGGGTGACCGCTCCCACCGCCCCGCCCCCCCCGGCTACGCGCCTGCGGTCAGATAAACACATTTCGATACCTTGTCCGACCCCGGAAGCTCAGGGGTTTAAGGCAATAAATTACGGTCAGATAAGCATTAAGGGCCCGCCTTAATAAGGCCCCTAGTGGGGTCGAGGCGGTGGAGGCCCCGGAAGGGGGTTTTAGGCGTTTAATTACGGTCAGATGAGCATTTTCTTTAAAACCTTATTATGTTGTGAGACTGGTAAGACACTATTTGGCGTTGGGTCCAGGGGGCGGAGCCCCACAAAATCAGGGGGTTTAGGCATTAAATTACCGTCAGATGATTATCTAAGGTCCCGCTTTAGGGCTCTAGGTGGAATCCAGGGGGCAGGGCCCCCGGAAGCTTAGGGGTTTTGGGCAATTAATCACGGTCAGATGAGCATATTTTGATGCCTCATTAATTGTTGACACTGGCAGTTAACTATTCTTTCTTTCTTGCTCTCTTTCTTTTTTATTTCTCTTTAATATACTATTTCACAAAAGTTTGGGGGGGGGCGGGGAGGCAGCTCGAGGCTTCCGATCCCCGTCGTTCCTCGGGCCTTAACATGAAGGAATCTCAAGAATCATATTTATTGCCTGGCTTTAAATTTAGGAATTCGTCATTTTCCAACAAACACATACAAAAGTATAATTTACTAAAAAGTGAGGCAAAATCAGGGAAATTATGTCATGTTGGCATTATATGTAATCCACAGAATGGAATTAGAAATAAACCATGTTTGAATTTGATTTCCCCCAAGCCCCCTCCCCCTATCAGTATGCCAGTATCTCCTCTTTTCCTTTTTTCTTTCCCTTTCCTTCTTCTCTCTTATTTTTTTGATTGGGGGGGGGGGGCAACAGCCTGGAAGGCAATGCCCTTTCGCTCCCCCCCCCGATGTCCTTCTTCCCCCTTTTCTTTTCTTCTTCCTCTTCTTTCTTTCCCTTTCTCTCCTCTTTCCCTTTCCCTTCTTTTCCTTTCTTCTCTCTTTTTTTTGCGGGGGGGGGGGGCAAGGCCCGCTCGCCCCCCTGGATCCGCGCCTGCTCACGCTTATCGATGTCGTATTAGTATTTCTATGTGTTCATCATATTTACAATGCTATTTGATTGACCAAAAAAATGTGAGGCTCTTAAGGGAGAAATTTCAATTGTTGTTAAGGAATGTCTGGCTTACACTCAGCAGATCCCGCTAGTGAAAAGATTTTTTTCTGACTTGTTTTTGATTTGATTTGATTTGATTTGATTTATTGGTTTCTGCATCTTTTTTCTTTTTTTCATCATACATTTTCATGAACATAATATGGCTTGATACAATATTTCAAGTGTATATAATTTTTATACAGATAATAAACGATATTAAACACATATATTGAATTTAAACAAATATATTGAATGGAAATTAACATACATTAGATGCAGGAGGGCTACAGTAATAAGCAAAGTAGCTTGACGTGCCGGCAGCCCTCAACTTAGATACAACAATACAAATAAAAATAAAAAAAGAGTGACTTGCAGAGAAGAAAAGGAAAGGGGAGAGAAGAAGGAGGAGGAGGAGCGTTGGTAATAATACAATAAATCTCATACAGCTGCTGATTGAATACAGGTTCATTCATGAATGGAAAAAACGATGCTAGGTCATGGACGATTACACATCATTGTTGAATATACAGTCAATGTACACACGAACATGAATACAGTAGAATTACACACGACATGATCAATACTTAGACAATAACATAGTTTTAACTGCCTTCTTAAAAGAATACAATGTCCTAAGGTTTCTTATTACAATGGGCAGAGAGTTCCAGGTGTCTGGGCCGGCAATTACAAGATCGAGCACGTGATCTAAATCTACTGGGTGCAAGCCAATTAACAATAAACAACATTGTGGTACTGTAATATGTAGCGTCATATGGTATTCACTAATGGTAGTGGTAGTAGTAGTAGCATAGTTATCATTATTGTTATTATTATTATCATAATTATTATCAGTATTATTATTGTTTTCATTATGAATATGTGAATATAATGGTGACTATTATCATTATTATTATTACTATTATCATCATTAGTATCATATCATTATAATCATCAGCACCATCATCAATGGCAGCAGTGTAGTAGTGCATATATTAGTAATAGTAGGCCTAGTGGTAGTGGTGCAATTCTGATCCTTATTAACATGAAAATCTTTTGCAATTCGTCGTGTGGCCAGGATTTATTGCTTCACTATATCCAAGATGTCTACCAAAACTCTCATTTCGTTGCTGAAAAATTATCAAGAGAAAAAAAGAAACTTTAGAATACATATTCAAAACAAAGCAAAATATAAAGAAGAAATAAGTAGAAAGTATACAATCACGACAATAGACAATTATGTCATAAATGATTGTCTTTAAGCTTGCCCTCATTTGCATCAGGCTTGAGTTTTGCTTGATTATTTGGTACTGGAGGATTAACGTGGAAAAGGTTAACTTGTATACATAATCGCATTTTGTCTTATTTCCATTTGGTTCTAATGTTTCCTGACTGTTTTGTAGACGATATCATATTTGGCGATCGCAGTTCTATGTAGCTTGATGTCTCATGGATTTTTTTTAGGGAAAATCAATCCAAGCAACGATTTCTGAATTATAGCTACAATCGTTCGCCATTGCTGCTCGTTAAAGGGATCCGTTAGTTTGTCTTAGATCCTTTAGAAATAATCCTTGATTTAGCTCATGCTGCAATGATAATTATTAACCTTTAGTTCAGTCAGGAACTCCATGACTTTTAAAAGCCGATCGCCTGTCTGATTATCAAGATATTAATTTATTGGAATTACAAATTTTGAAAACCGTTCGCCGAACGGTTTTCATAACACTACAGTCTATTGGGGAAAACGAGTATGGTAAAACCGGTCACTCAAAGATTTTTTTACTGTTATGAGGCACTTCTTGATCATTATGAAGCGCGATTTTTTTTTAGGGCTTCAATATTACACCATATCACAGACACTGGTAACATGTAGGACCGTGTATCTCAGATTTAACATTGTTAAACGATCCCTTTGATACTACATTAACAATCGGTAGCATATTATTATGTCATGACCCATAAAACACCCGTTTAACAGTTGATTCCACTTGGTTGACTCTATTATTCGAATCTTTTAGCGAGGAGAGATAGAAGTGAACGTTCTCACGCTTAAAGTGACTAGGTAACATTGTTGAAGGTTGATGAAAAAACTGCGTAATTTGTGTACGAAATGTTACTTTTTATATTTCTTCTACTGTACTAACCCGCTAACATGCACCAAAATCCTGAAGAAATTCGCAAACCACAAAGATATTTATGGTTTTCTTTGAAGGCATAACTGTGCAACACCTTCTAACAGTAGATTCTTGAGTCAAACCATTTTTGAATTTTCCCAACCGTTTTTTCATAGAAATAAGACATAAAACAGGCTTTAAAAATGTTTCAACACTTAAAGATAAAGTTGAGTTCTGGTCATGCGATCGTATTGCAAAAGAAACGTTGTGGAATCGATCAGAAAATTTTGATCATCTAGCATATAAGTACTGGTGTGTACTGCAAGGTTCTGGAATCATCAAAATTATAAGAAATTTGGCCCAATCTTGGTAAAGTTACAAACACTGTACACAGAAAGATGTATATGGGATTACATGAACATGTGGCGTAACAACCTTGATTTTTATGATGTTCACGTGCCATATTTACAATATTAAGGCATTTGAAGAGCCATGCTTTTCAGTGAGCATATATATATATCTGATTTTCTCCCACACTTGCATAATACAATGCTAACGCTCACAAATTATTTTTCACCTCTTCCCAGAACTCAACCTTCTCTTTAAATTTCTGGAATGGTATACAGAGCCAATTTATTGCTTTATGACGATTTACATTCACTTAAAATGTAATTAAATTGTAATAATATAGTTTAGAGAATTAATGAATCAATCAGATCAGTTTTTCCCAATTTGTATCATTGATAATTAATGGTCTGTTTTCACTCACACTTTCAGATTATCTTTAATTGTACATCTAGCATTGAAGTCACTACCTTATCACCATTTTCTCTCATCTGAACGATGTTACCAAGTCCCTTTAACGACATTTTGTGTTCATCGTCTCTACAATGCTATTTCAACCATTTGATGAAAATAAAAGATACCGTGGAACTACTTTTATGTAGCGTAACATGGCATTCAGATGGTGGATAAATGATTATCAGTACCGAGTTTAATATAGGATTTCCCGGCCAAATTCGCGAGTTTGTCATTCGAATTCATTTGTCTTGCGTTCAAATTCGACGGTTTTAGTGCTGTCGGGTATATCTCGGGTTTATATTCCCTTTTCTAGATTTCAAATCTATGAAGTTTTCGTTAGAATCTATGTATGTTTCATTCAAATTAATGAACAAAGTGCTTCTTTCGTATTTGGTCATTCGATTTAGCGCAACACGATTTTGTGACATCGCGACGGTGTACTTCTAGCATTCTAATTTAATCAAATTATGGAAATGCAAGCACTACTTTACACAAACACAACTTTGTTATTCCTGGCTCATTTTTCTTGATTGAGGTATCATATGAAAGAGCAGAAAATGAACTTTCTGGAAATATGAATTTTTCTTTGAAATTCAGATACCGCCCTCCAAACTACTTTTTGGTTTCCTTCCTTCAAATTGCTTTTAATCACTCATGCATGAAATATGCATCACGTGAGTAGCATCAACTGAAAGAGGAGACTCTATGCTTTCCAAATATGTATCATTCATTAATTATGGTTGTGATTCAGTTATGATTAAACATCGATACTTCTCGGTTTCGTTTTTTCTGGGACGCACTGTATAGGGGTTTAGAGACTAGAGTCACACAATTTTTGAGCATGATTTATCATTTTAACCAAGTCTTTAGCCATCGATCTGCTGGCGGGCAAGGCATTGGGGATGTAGGTCTGCATTCTGCGATACCATCCCATGCATCCCATGTCCGTGCAGAAATGCCATATCCCTCGATTTCGCCCCTTCTTTACTTAATGTCTGACTATACCCATATGCATTGTCCTGAAAATGAATAAATGGAATAACAGAATAGACCCCAATGGCAGGTCATTTATTTTATTTTATTTTTTAAATTGTAAACGTGTGTTGCATTTCTTCCCCCTAACATTCCTAACTTGAATAAAAATATTTCGAATACGAATGACAGGTGTTAATTTGAATGATAAAAATGACGCCTCGACAAGTGACGACTAATTTGAATGCTAGTTGAGCAGTTTCTAAATTGAATGACAGATCTATGAAATCCTTCGACCAAAATCCTAAATCAAATACAAAATCGGGAAAATTGAATGATAATTGGCATGGCAAAGCTGATGTGCGCTAACTTAAATGCAAAGTAAATGAATTCGAATGACAAACTCGCGAATTTGGTCGGGAAATCCTATAATTAAAAAAAAAAGTGAATTATATATTCTTTATCCTCCCCCTCCCCCTCTCTCTCTATTGTGTCACTGCCTTCCTTTCCCATGGCTTACTTCTATTACCACGGAGTATGTTCAATTAATTATCATTATTATCTTTTGCAATACGTCATGAATAAATAAGCGAGTTCGTAAATAGTCCTGGACCGCATGACCCCAAAATATCCACAGATCTTATACACGATGGATACTTCCCACCTGTGCATTTGAGAATAATCACTGCCAAAGTGATGGAGGTGCTTCATGAATACCTTTTGTTTGCCTCTTGAGAAGAATACTTCCACCTGTGTATCAGATAAATGTACTGTTTGTGCATAAATGAATACTGATTACATATCTTTCATGAGCACGATACAAGTATTCGTCTCAATGGTTTTACAATTTGGGTCCGAATGACCTTTATCTGCACATGCGCAAATCCTAATTACGAACTCGCTTATTCATGACAATTGACAGTATGTGATATATTGTTGTCTTTAAATTTACCCTTACTAGCACCTGGCTCGAGTTTTCCTTGTTTGGGGGGGGGGGGGGGGGGGGGTACTGGATGATTAAAATGGAAAAATGCACTTGTTTATAATTTGATAAGTTTCATAAGAATGAAAGTTTGTATTGTTTCAAAGTTTATATTGTTTCAAATGATTACTTTCTCTTTTCTAGGACCCCCGGGTGGAATAATCTGCCTGGCTGCCATCAGCTAGGTGATGTACGTGAGCGCTGTGCCGTTATGATGCAAATGTATAATAACAAATGTCATGTACACGGAAACAACTTGCATATTTATTTCAATGTCTTTTATCCGGTCTAATATTATGTTGGTGTTAATTGTTATGTATTTATTATCATCTAGTCTTTTCTGACGACTTTCATCAGTCCACCCCTCACGACAGAGCGATTTTTTTGGATTGGTTGCCATGACAGAGAGGTCGAAGGTCAATTCAAGTGGCTCGATGGAACCCAAGTTCGGTAAGACATACACAAGGCAATGATTTAGATTTCCCTCGTTTAATGATACAGCCATGCATTCCGTTTTATTGAACTTCGGGGCATTCATTATTTACAAACTGTTTTATTTTAATTGTCATTGTAATTATGATAAGATATGATGGATGGGCTCTAGACGAGCCGAACGATGGAGGACCAGGAAGGACCCAAAACTGTGCTTGTCTGTGGTCATCCCAGAATCCAAACAGACATGGAAGATGGGATGATAACAGTTGTGGAGCTCTTCTACGCTTGATTTGCCAGAAAGGAGTTTGTGAGTCTAGCCTTTATATTTTTTCATTAAAAGTAAAATATACTTGTCTGTTTAATGAAACTATAGGGGTCGATTTGCAGTTGCAGTCTCCTCTAACAATGAAAAGAAAAGTGAATACTAGACTTGTCCAGTGGGCTAATTGTTTTTTTACGATTTCGGTTTCTAACGGACAGGCATATTAACTTGATTTAAAAAGATAATTAAAATGACTACAAAGAGGGTTACATTCTAAATAATTAGGCCTACTGTAAATTGCATACAAATATATGAAGTGTTAATAACGAACAGACAGATAAATATATTGCTTTTGAGAAATGCTTTAAAATGAGAAAACCCTTGCATTAAACAAAATATTATATTTTGGAATTTATATCGATAAATAATGTATTTTATTATATATATATACACAAAGAGAAATAAAAGGTGTTCTTGGGGAGTAAAACGAAATTGGAAAAATAGAGCGCCCCTATTACACCTTTTAGGGAGTAAAACACGGAAATACGCAAGGGTGTATATTTGAGGGATGTGATTTTACACCGTATTTTAGTCAGACGAGCTCTGATTGGTCAGTACATATGCGCATGCGCTACAGCAATGGCGCATCGTGTCAATATAGGTACTGCCAAATGAAGACAAATTAGCATAATTCACATATTGTAGTCATGTTAGGGGAGTTATCATGTTTCATTTGGGCATATTATTTGTGTGAAAGTTATCCGATCAAGAATAAGGGGTTGTACCGAACGTTATATTTGATAATTTAATGAACTTAGCAGAAGTGTTGTTTTACTAACTAGTACATAATTGTCTTTTTATACGTATAAGTAAAGGGAAGATATTCGGTAATTGCCGGCGAAACTTCCCGCCTCGCTCGGAACAACAAAACTAGGCGTTGTGGCGTGCGCCTGTAATCCAGCTAAAAAGTGGAAGTTACAAACTGATTCAGCCGAGGACGCAGGTCCGAAAATGAGTCACGTCTTTCGGATGGTGACGCTTAAAGGTCGGTCCCCAGACGTAAATAATCATATCTGATTGATACACGTCTGTAAAAACCCAATACACACACACACACACACACACACACGGTAAAGCAGGATTGCGGATTTAGGTAATTCCATGACATTTGAACCGATACGTCCAGCTATAAGTTAGTTCTTACAGTCTGCACTTGTGTTGAGTTCACACTAATTGTTGTTTAGGTAAGCATTAAAGCTTTTCAACATATAACTCGACATTCTGGTCTGATTTCTTTAGAGCAGTGAAACGCAGACAAAAGGGTGAGAATCAGTGACTGTTAGGTGATTACGAAGCATGGATGATTGATTGCTCGATGCTGTGCATAAAAAGGGTGTAAATTTACTCCCCACAGGGTGTGGAATCGGTCATGAAGGGTATACAATTCAACCCCACGGGTGTAAATAATGAACCCATTTTTCATGAAAATGGAACCAAAAGGTGTTAAATGAGCACCATTGTGTGCAAATTTTACTCCTTAAAGGGAGTACAATCATAACCTTGGGGTGCACATTTTCACCTTCTTATGAAAAAACAAAATTTACTTCCTACATTGGGGAGTAAATTTACTCCCTGAGGGGTGTCACTTATGTGACAAGCAGTTACTCCCTATAGGGAGTCAATTTACACCTACTTTTCTCTGTGTGTAGGACTATACATGTATACTCCGAGCAATAATGTCGATTGCACAAGATTCTTGTCGATTATATCATTACAAAAGCTGAGATATAAATATAAGACCTATTAGAGCCATTATTAGTGCAAGTATTAAACAATGTTCATTCTACTTTCACTTTTAATGTGACGTCATTCTCACATGGAGCGTCATAGACCACGTCGGTCGCTGACGCAGTCCTATGTCATCAACTGTGACATCTCGAGTGAAAGGGGCAACTCTGACGCCATAACCAACCTCAAATTGTTTACACATGTGGCGTGTCATTTTCCGAAGAATTTTTTTCTTCATTTCACTACTGAAGGAACGGCGAATAATACAACTCTTTAAGGCCTTCTCCCTTTCTCGTACCACAGATAATTTCATACTGACGAGTTCTCGAAGCAACCCGGGGTCGGCTTATGTTTCTTGCGCTGTCGATGTTGTCCTGGACGATACAACACTGTCTCCCGTTGACGTCTGGGTGTCGGTCGGTAGAAATCTTTTATCTGCAAGATCGATTCCCTACTCGTCGACAAATGTCAACGGTGGATTACGTAACAACAGTTTCGTGATAGACAACATTGAGGATGATGATCAGATCTTCTGCCATGTTGGTGAATTGGCAAGGACAGAGAGATCGTTCTCAAGAATTGATTTTAGCCCGATTAATTTTTACGGTAAGAACTGGATTTATATACATCGATGTGATAAGCCTACAGCGGGAATAGGCCTACACCCCTCAAAGAAAAAACAAACGAACATTGAGGTTCTAAAGGCAATAACATGAGTCGTAAATTTCCTCTTTATGAATGTTCACGTTGTGGTAAGCACAAACGAATCCAGGAGTACGAAACACCCCTATACAAAAAAAGTTTTAAAACATATAAGCAAAAATTTATTGAAAATTGCGTTCAAATTCTTAACGCGCATTAGGAAATGCTGATCTAGTGTTGGGCACAAAGTCTGGACTAATATATCCTGAGATCCTCATTTTGTTTGTATGCTTTTTGGTGTGTTTTCGTTCTTGTTTTGTTTGTTTGTTTGTTCTTCTTAATGACTTTGTCTAGTTGCACATTTTTAATTTCTGTTCGGTTTGATACTTTATCTTCCCATTTGTATCATGTAGCAAAGGAATGACATTATACTTTCCAGTATTTCCAGTACAAGAAAACAGAATAGAAAGAGATATGCTGGGTTATGGAACGGTTATGAATAATTCAGGCAGTATTCTCATAATAAGATTTATTCTTATATAATGATTAACATGTTATTAAAGTAATTAAATGCATTAGTTATACAATTTTCCACACAACTGTGCCAGGGATGTCATTTTTGACAGACATGGCGCATTATAAATGTTCACTATTATTATTATTAATTAATCGTGTGATATCATGGTGAACTATTGACCTTTCAGAAAGCAGTGGTCGTTTTGGTGCCTTGAGGCAAATGAATGACATTATACTCTTATGTCTTGACAGCTTTGCCTGGGCTGACATCTGGACCAACGGTGGAAGACATCAGTTCAACCTTCGTCACTGTCTCCTGGAGTTCTTGGATACCGTGTCTTGATACCGGCGAAGGGCCAGTAGTCAGTTACTTGGTCTACCTACAGACGATGGATGGAGAATGGGTAGAGGGTGGTGGAATCGACTCGGATGTGGGAGAGGGCGATCTTCAACGAAGAATGGAGTTTGTATTGACTGGGTTGGAACCAGGAAATGAGTACAATATCAGCGTGTCTGCCGCCAGAGAAGGCGTGGGTGGAGAGGGTTCGAAGAGTCCACTTGTGTCTGTTACGACGACTAGCATTGGTGAGTGGATATTGCGCTTACTGACATCATATATTTTGTTAATGTTTGTAAACATGATATTGAATGTACTATTACATGTATCTGAGAGTCGCCATTTTTTGAAAAGCGCATATAAGCATATTGTATTAAGCGCTCTAGAAATACAATGTATTATTATTATCATTATTTATTCGAAAAGCAATGTCTTTCAATGTAATCTTATCAATATGTTACTACATTTTAGTAATAAGAAATATTTTGAATAAATCAAGCCGTTTGTGAAGTCACGTTCTTTTTCTTATCGAGTCACTACACAAGTCCCGTCCAGTGGTCCACACAGGCTTTGGCACGGCAATTCACGGCTTCCAAGTCATCTTGGGTACATGGCTCTAACAGGAGTGGGCAGACTAGCAGGTGTTCCATTGTCTGTTCCTGACTGCATTCACATGCTGTCTGTTCGTCTCCTAGACCCCACCTCTGCATTAGGACTCTGCATAGATAGAAGATAGATAGATAGATAGAAATGGTTTTATTAAAAAGATCATCGCAGCCAATGGCTGAATTGCGATCCATTTCACAAGGTTATATACAATACAATTGCAATTCAAATTGAAATAACACAAAATATGACATAAATCAATAATCAAACATATAGACATTTCATAAAAATTCATTGATCAGATTCAAATTTTTGTTAAAAAAGAAAGAAAGAGATTAGGAGAGGTGTAGGAGAGGGAGAGTTGGAGTGATGACAAAGAGAGAGAAGGAGAGAAAGAAAGAGAAGGGGGACGGGAGAGAAAGACGGAAAGAGATAGAGAGGGAGAGAAAGAGAGAGAGAGTTGAAGAGAGGAAGAGACAGACAAAGGGTACCTTATCATTACAGAGATGAGGGAAGATGGCAAGAAATATTCAGTAATGCAGAAAATTGAGATAAAAACTATCAAAATTCATTCACATAGTTCAATCATGGACTGTGAAATTCTAAAAATATTGGTATTACATTTTATTCAAAAGATTTATAAAGTAAGAAAGAGAGCTGCACTGGAAGCGTTTTGTTTTACATTGGTATTGTTTAAACTTTGATTGAGATCTTAGAGAATAAGTGCTTTGTTGTCTAAGAGGTAAACATTCTTTAAATTGAGGGTGTTTGACAAGTGCATTTGCAAAGTCTATACATAACTGCTTACGTCTTGCTTCTAATGAACATAGATTGCACGTTTCCAATGCTGCTTCATAATTTTCATACTGACGTCCTAAAATGATTTTGCAAGCTCTTTTCTGAATACGTTCTAAAATATATACATGAGTTTTTGTCATTAAAAACCGGTACCCCATAATCTAAAATCGAACGAATGTATCCTTTATATATAAGTAAAAGGTCATCTACAGGCAATCCATACTTCTTAAGGCAACGAAACATAAATAACTTCCTATAACACCTTTTTGTGAGATCGGATACATGACTATCCCACTTTAGGTTTGATTGTAAAATAATTCCGAGGACTTTGGCTTGATGAACATAAATTAATTCTTTGTCGCCAATGAAAATTGAAGTTTGTTCATCACAATTTTTCATAAATGTTATAACCATAGAGAAGCACTTGGACGGATTCAATGTCATATTATTTTTAGCTGACCATTGGTATAGATCAGTGATTGCATTTTGTAGTTTAGACTGAGATGTTACTTTTCGGCTTTCTACAATCGTTAAGTCGTCAACATATTTATAAATTGGTAAGTTAACATCATTACAGGCATTATTGATCATTACAATAAATAGAATCGGACCAAGTTTGGTACCTTGCGGAACACCAGCATTGATTGTTTTCAAATTAGATAACTGACCAAAATATTTTACCCTTTGTTGACGCAACTCGAGGAAACTCAGTATCCAAGATATTACACATGGCCTCACTTGCAAATGGATCAATTTGTTGATTACAATATTATGGTCGATGCGATCAAACGCCTTAGAAAAATCGGTAAGTATGATGGTGGATAAAGATTTGGGTTTATCAGCGTTGGCATATATTTGATGAAGAAGTTGTATCAAGTAGTGGTTAGTGCATCGTCCGTATCCAGTTCTTAGGCGGTTGAGGCTTAGCCAGGTAGGCCAAGTCTCGCTGGAGCCGGTTGCGAGAGATTCCTTTGGGCTGAGGGAGAGTTTATGTGGAGTGGTCTGGCGGTGGTTAGATCACAAAATTATCATTTGGTCGTGAGGGCTGGTATTAAGGGGCTCTACAGTGTGCAGAAAGCTGTGTCTGGATTTGAGCCGCTTTCCTACTGGCTGTCGTTCGAAGAGTGGGTGGAGTGGATTGTTTTCTTGTTTGTACTTTTCTCTCTGGGACAAGACAGGCCTTCTGACGTGTGGTGGGGGCAATACCGCAGAGCGGGAAGAGGTCTTCTACTTTAGTTGGCCTAAGGCAACCAGTGATTGCTCTGCAAGATAAATTTAGAGCTGGGTCGATCTTCGGTGCGTGGTCTGACCTACTCCACACTGGTGATGCATACTCCGCAGCAGAGAAGCAAAGCGCAAGGGCTGTCGTCGGGATCGTTCTGGCATCAGTCCCCCAGTTGGTGCTGGCTAGCTTCTTGAGGATGCTATTGCGGGCTCCAACTTTTGCCTTTGTGTTGGAAATGTGGTTCTTGTAGGTGAGGGAGCAATCCAGTTTGACGCCTAGGTAGACTGAGTTGAGTTTGTGCCTCAGCCTTTTCCCATACCAGCTGATCCTTAGTTGATGGTAGGCATCCCTGTTCTTGAGGTGGAATGCACTTATTTGAGTTTTATCAGGGTTAGCTCTCAGGTGGTTGGTCGCGTAGTATGGGATGAGTCCGGCCAGGGCATCACTGAGGAACTCCTCCAACTTCACAAATGGCTGGTGCTGGGTGGCGATGTAGAGATCATTGGCGTAGAGGAAACTCCTGGTGTTTGGGTGGATCGGTTGGTCGTTCATGTACACGTTAAAGAGCAGCGGTGCAAGCACACTTCCTTGTGGTAGGCCATTGTTCTGTCTGCGCCATCTGCTGCGCTTGCCGTTGAGGACCACAAAAAAAAAATCGCCAATTGGACAGCAACGTCTGGATGAGTCTAGTCAGTCTCACATCCTTTGTCAGCTCAAAGATCTTCCTGGTGAGGATTCTGTGGTTCAGGCAGCAGAGAGATCAACGAAAGCTGCTCTAGTGATTAGCTTACTCTCATACCCATCCCCAATGAACTGAGTGAGGTTTAGGAGTTGGCCAGTGCATGATTTTACTGGCCTGAGCATGAGATGTTCATCCACGAATTGGGTGATGCGGTAGCCATGGTGTTGGTTGTAGTAGTTACTAAAAGAACTTGAGTAGTGTGGTTAAAGGATTCGCATATTTTCATCTGACAGGAACCGCGACGTGAACGCTCCTTCAATCCCCCCCCCCCGAAGTCACGTTGTGTAGTGTTCATTGTAGAATTGTTGGCATCGATACATCTTTTGTGTTATGACTGATTCACTCGACCACTACAATTCTTTGATGAACTAATCTTTATTAATGTAATAGGTTCGATCCATACTGAAAAATAGCAAAATAGCAAATAGTAAAGCAGTGCAAAAGGAGAACACAAAATTTTTAAAGAAAAACATTATCAAGTAGTATTGACGTCCTAAATTTTACGCGTTTCAATGGGATGTCGGTGAACTTGTACTTATGACGGTTTCATGAAGCAAGTTTTAAAACATATAACAAAAATCGCATTCAAATTCTCAACGCGCGTTCGGAACAGCTGATCTATAGTGTTCGGCACATAGTCGGCACTAATATATCCTAAGATCCTCATCTTGTTTGTATGCCTTTTGCTGTGTTTTTGTTCGTGTTTTATTTGTTTGTGTGTTTGTTCTTCTTAATGACTTATCATAAGTCTTTTGGATTCATCACAAAACTTTGTCTAGTTGCAAATTTTCAATTTCTGATCGGTTTGATACTTCATCTTTCCATTATCATCAAAAAGCAAAGGAATGACAATATACTTTCCCGTACTTCCGGTAAGAGAGAAAATTCCTTATCCAACATCAAAACAAAATAGAAAGAAAAATGCTAGGTTATGGAACGGTTATTAATAGTTCAGGCAGTTTTCCACAATAACATTTATTCTTATATAATGATTTACATTTTTAAAGTAATTAAATGCATTTATTAATCGTGTAATATCATGATGAACTATTGAACTTTCAGAAAGCAGTGGTGGTTGTGGAGCCTTGGGGAAAAGCAATCTGATTTGGATTCTCTTTGGGGTGTCATTAGCGGGAAATGTCCTTTTATTGGTAGTCATCGCGATAAAATGGTAAGGTTAATCTTCAAAAGCGTGATGATGATAATGATGTACTCAGCCCCTGAAAGCACAGGGGCGTTATTTCGACTGTGTTACCACATGTACCTGCCCTTATCAAGTTCGGGAAGGTAATAGGCCCGTTTCGCGATGTAATCAAAATTTAAAGCATAAATCTGTAATACATTACGTGTTGTCAGGTAGGACGAGCCATTTGTTTGTCCTACCTAATATGCAATCCACATTCTGATTATTGAAATACAATTATACATAACAGGTGAATGAATCGTTTGTAACGAAGCACTTAAAAAAGATTGGTGCATTAGTTTTTTATTACATCAAGAAAGTGGCATATTAGCCCGTCTTCCATTTATTCTCTGCATGATATCGGTCTGGCTTTATGGTGCGCCCATGACCGCGTCGGTCGGTGATGTCGTCCTACGCCAGACAAATATGGACTTTTAGATTTTAGAGAACGTGGACTGCCACCTGTGACATCCTTTTAAGGTAATGTGGCGTCCTTTTAAGCGTATCAGGACAATTACCCCCTGGGCAATCACCCCCCCGGAAACCCCCCCCCCGGAAAACTACCCCCGTAGGACGATTACCCCCGGAAAATTACCCCCTGCAGAATAACCCCCCGAGGACAATAACCCCCAAGGACAATTACCCCCGGAGAATTACCCCCGTGGACAACTACCCCCCGGGGACAATTACCCCCGAGGACAACTACCCCCGAGGACAATTACCCCCCGAGAACAATTACCCCCCGAGGACAACTACCCCCAGGACAATTACCCCCTGGGCAATCTCCCCCCGGAAAAATACCCCCTGGAAAACTACCCCCGTAGGACGATTATCCCCCGAAAAATTACCCCCCCGGAGAATTACCCTCCGAGGACAATTACCCCCCAAGGACAATTACCCCCCGCAAAATTACCCCCCGGAAAATAATCCACCGAGGACAACTACCTCCCGGGGCCAACCCCCCCCCCGGAAAATTAGCCCTCGGAGAATAACCCCCGAGGACAACTACCCCCAAGGAAAACTGCCCCCGAGGACAATTACCACCATGGACACTACTGGGTATGGTGGCTCAGTGGTTAGAGCGCCCGCCTCACGAACGGGAGTTCGTGGGTTCGAACCCCAGCCGAGTCATACCAAAGACTTATAACAATCGGACCTTCTGCCTTCTAGCTAGGCACTCAGCATATTATATTGGAGAAGGGTAGTAGTAACATATTATGTTATGCAGGGCCCACTGGAAGAGCAGTTTTATAACTGGAGTGGCTACCCTGGGTAAATAAAACGTTATTATTATTATTATTATCATTACCCTCGAGGACAACTATCCCCCAGGAAAACTACCCCCGAGGACAACCCCCCTGAGAACAATTACCCCTCCCCTTCTAGGACAACTCCCCCTCCCCCACCCCTCAAGGACATTAATCCCCGGAGGACAACTACCCCCAATGACAATCACCCCCGAGGAATTTTTAACACTGTGACGTATAACGCAAGCTTCTCTCCAAATTGCTACTTACAGAAAATTGCATAAACATTCATTTTCTTTGTTATTTATGAAGTTCATTTCAGTCTTTTCAAATTATTCAATTCGATATGTGGGGGGGGGGGGGGGTGGAGGTTGCCCAATTCCCCTGTAGTTTTGCTACCGAGTAAAGAACAGAAATTACATTTCTTAGAAATTGAACAATACATTGCGCACAGCATCTATCACCATCAATGGCGCAACAAAGAAATTAGGATGTAAGATTTCCTTTATGCATCCTCTGTAACTTTTTTAATCAGCTGATCGTGTATTTGTCTTTGTATGTATAATGGGCCTTCATCCATGCCATGATCCATAATTAAGGTTTTCTTCACGTTATCTATTTATTTCTGTTGTCATGCTGAACTTGCTGAAGTATAATATGTTTTCGTGTACGTTAAGTAATTTTGAAATAGAAATTGCCTTCAAGTTATATGCACGGTGCCATGTCAAAAGAAAATAAAAATCCGCTCTCTGGTAATTCATCTTATTTGATTTTATAAATTTTATATATAGAGAACGATTTGGAAAACGTTGATTTTGTTTAAAAAAATCAAATACCAGAAACGGTTAAAATATGTAATTACATGAGAAAATAAAATTGTGAAGATACTAAAGTGTCTTCCTTCCTCGCTCGCTGACAATATTTTGACAGCAAGGCTAATAAGGGCAACGAGAGGCCCGAATATCCTCAAATTCGTGTATCAAGGTCATGACCGAATATATCACTTTTTATTTATATACATTCGGCGACAAGGTGCCCACATACAGTACTTTAAATAGTTTCTAGTGTGTGGATTACAAACTAATTTTTTACAAGTTTGAAAATGACTTCTCCTTTTTATTCTTAAATGTGCCCATACGTGTGTGCATAGCACTTTGAGTTTGAGTTTGAGTTTATTGATTTCACATTTCACATGCAGAAATAATACAGATAACAAAATATACATAAAAGACATATTGTTTCATAATATAACAAAATGATTATATTAATTGACAAGGTAATCATCACATTTGTTTGACAACTAATATCATTTAAAGGAAACCCAGATAAAAGTACAAACTGTGAAATGTGCAGGAACCTATAGAAAAGCAGAGCTTGTAAAGAATAGGTTCCTGGGCGACTTGAAAAATAACAGGGACAGAAAATGTTTACAGTAGAGAGGGGTACACAATTAAAATTAAGACGGTAGTAGTTTGACAAATAGTTGTTTGCGAGTTCAATACAATACAATACAGAAAAAAGAAAGAAAAAGAAATACATTAAACCGAAGAGTAGTAACGAGCCAATAAATAGGAGAGTATGCACCATACATGTTTGCACCACCTGAACGTTTACAAAAACCGAACAATAGAAATCATGAATTATTTATTCCTTTCCTGTTAAAATCCACTTAAATGTCACATAGGCAAAAGAACGCCTAAAATTGCAAATGAATTGTAAAATGAATTGTAAAATGGTACACGTTATAAAAAAAGAACATTATACATGAAATGTCTAATCATCATTATTATTGTAGGCATTCAACAAATGTAACTTGAGTTTATATTTAAATTGATGAATAGAAGAAGAGTGAAGTAAATCAGGATGAAGATTGTTCCAAAAAGACGGACCAGTATATACAATTGTTTTTTGAGAAAATGAAGTGCGTAAACGGGGGATGTGAAAATCATTCCTTTTCCTGGTAGGGTATGAATGAATATCCAAGTTCTTAGTGAAAAGAGAAGCAATAGAATCAGGCAAATCATTTTTTGTAAGTTGATACATGAAAATACCCAAATTATAGAGAAATATATCAGACACATGTAAAAGGTTATTGTTGAAAAATAAGATGTTTGAATGTGACCGGAAACCAACATTGTGAATTATTCTAGGGCTCTTTTTTGAATGACCAATAAACTATGCAGTTGAGTCTTGGAGCAGTTGCCCCATGCTAAAATACCGTAATTTAAATAAGGGAAAATTAAGGTGGAGTATAGATTCAACAGGACATCAAGAGGAAAAAAGTGTTTAAGTCTGTTGATGACGCCGGTATTTCGTGATAAAAGTTTACATAAATTTCCAACGTGCATTTTCCAATTAAGTTTACAGTCTATAACAAGACCAAGAAATTTTGTGTGTTCAACAAATAAAATGTTTATGTCATTAATGGAAATGTTACCAGGTAGTGATGTTATGGAGTTACTGAAAAGCATATAGTTCGTTTTAGTCACATTAAGAGATAATTTATTGGCATTAATCCACTCCAAAACAGATAGTAATTCATTGTTTACAACGTCAGCAATAATATTGGGATTTGGATGAGTAAAGAAAATATTGGAATCATCGGCAAAAAGTATGAATGACAAAATGGGGGAGGAAGTTTGGAAATCATTAATGTAAAGTAGAAACAAGAGCGGACCCAGGAGAGATCCTTGCAGGACACCACAAGTGATATGTCGTAGACATGAGTCATGATCATTTAAATTAACATATTGCATTCTGTCTGTGAGGTAATTCCTGAACCACTCCAAGGCCTTCCCTCTGATCCCATAATGGGATAGTTTATATAAGAGAATATCATGGTTAACTGTGTCGAAGGCCTTGGAGAAGTCCAGGAAAATGCCAATAGTATGGGACATATTATCAATAGCACATGCAATCTTATTAATGAACATGAGTAATGCATGAGTTGTGGAGTGTTTACGTCGGAAACCATATTGAGATGACGATAATATATTAAATTTAGATATGAATTTAAAGGTACGAGTATAAATAAGCTTTTCTAACATTTTTGAAAACGACGAAAGCAAGGAAATTGGGCGATAATTACCCAAGTCATCTTTACTACCAGATTTAAATATAGGAACCACCTTAGCAATTTTCATTTTTTGGGGTACAATACCATTTAGTAAAGATAAATTTAAAATATGAGCAAGAGGATCGGCAATCACACCGATTACCTTTTTTAAAAGAAAATTAGTTATGCCATCAGCACCTGCACTTTTTTTATTCTTAAAACTATTGACAATACTAATTAATTCAGAACAGTCTGTTGGAGTTAAAAAGAATGAACTTTGGTTGGAATTTGTGAGAAAAGAATGAAAGGGTTTACCAGATGTGGGTATTTTCTCAGCTAGCTTTGGCCCTATTTGAACAAAAAAAGAATTAAAAGATTCAGCTAAATCACGAGAGTCTTGAATCTTCACACCATCATCAATCACACTCTCAATGTGTATAGACTTAGTTTTACTTTTCAGGACATTATTAATAATCTTCCACGTATTTTTAGCATCATTTTTATATAAATTGAATTGTGAAGAATAATAATCTTTTTTAGCCTGTCTCAATAAAGATGTAAGAATATTACGATATCTATTGTTTTTCAATTTAGAGCCCTCAGTTTCTTTTACTTTATATTTATAGAACAATTTGTTTTTACGGTTAATGCACTTCAAAAGAGATTTAGTGACCCAGGGCAGTCTGGGGACTTTTTTGTAATTAGAACGCAATGGAATACATATCGGAATATACAGGTTGTATAAATCATCGAAAATTTCAAGGAACCTATTATAACAATCGTTTACATTTTGACAATTATATAATTCAGACCAATCAGTAGAGATAAGACTTTGTCGAAATCGTTCGATGTTCACATGGGACAAATTACGAAAACCCGACACCTGCTTACTGGAATTACACTGTGAATGAAAATTGGGAATGAAAGCAAACATTGGGAAGTGATCACTCAAGTCGGAAAGTACTATACCAGATTCAATATAAGAAGATACATTTGTAAAAATATTATCGATCAAAGTGTGACTGCTATTTGATATTCTTGTTGGTTTGGTGATTTGGGGAAGAAAAGAATGGGATAAAAGCAAATTTAAGAAATCCAAATACTGAGAATTTGAGTCACACGATAACAAGTTGGCATTTAATAAAGTCGCCCATTATAAAGCACATCTTGTTGGCAATTTGAGGTGATGATAAAATAGTCTGAACAAGTTCAAGAAATTCATTGAAATTACTTTGAGGTGGCCTGTAGATTTCACCAATAACGATATGTTTTTTACCAGGAACTTCGATCTCTATAAATATGCTTTCAAATATATCAGACATGATGGTTAAGTCATTAAGTATTTTGGATGCATAATCATTTGAAATATACAAGCCAACTCCGCCGCCAGTTTTGTTTTTCCTGTTATTAGTGACAAGAGTGTAGCCATCAATAAAAAATAGTGAGGAGTTAGATTTAATCCAGGTTTCACAAATACCAATGAATGAACAATCATATTTAATTTTGTCCAGGAGTAGTTAAAACTGGTCAAAATTTTTACCGAGACTTCTGACATTGCATTGTAGAAAAGATAGTTTATTGACAGCCTTTGAAAAATGATCAATGAACTGAGATTCTGTAAAATAGCGTGAATGTTTGCTGCCTGACAATGACTCACATGAGTCCATGTTCAGTTGCAACTCAGCAGTGCATAAATTTAAATATTCAGCCGTGTCAGCTTCATGACGAACGTTATCTGTAGTTATGTAAGAGGAGGATGCCTGTGAATTATCAGGTGGTAAAAGTTGTTGATCATTACCAACATTAGATAATAGAGGGTCAGTCATTGATAAAACATGAAGTAACAGGTGAGTAACGGAGAATCCAGTAGATGAACTGGAATGACATGTATATAAATATGAATAGGAAAGAAGAACGTTCAGGTGGTGTAAATACACAAAAGGCGTGGTTTATAATATGACATTTGTTGTATAGTAGAATTAGAGATGGTTCGCAATAGAATGTAATAACCGATTTAGTACAGGTAGCATCAATCAGGAAGTTAACTGAATCAATTGTACATACGTATACATTCATTGGAAATAAGATCGAGACAAAACACAGATAAGAAATAAAAACAAGAAAATTCATTACTTAGCACTTGTACTAGAACACGTACAAGAAACTCATGGGATCCTTTCAGCCACCGCACGTAGAAGAAATTTAGAAAATTCAGGCAAAAGCAAGAGAGAGAGCCAGAGCAAAATTAATAGTCTGTAAAGACGTTGGGATTTGGGAGAACATTTTCATTTCTTAAGAGGGTACCGTGACTAACAAAAAGTTAAAATAACGCTGCTCCAGAGAAATGTTTTTTTTATGCATTTTGAAAAGCGCTAGATAATTACCTAAAACTTCGTGGAAATTAGCGACCGCACTGGCGTTGCATAAATAAATTATGATAAAAGGATAATGTGTAGTAATGAGGAAGACAGCGTGCTATAGTATTTGAAAGAATATGGGTTCATGCAGGGGATCTTATGGGCTCGTAGCCATCTCTCAATTTGTCAGATCGTCTTTTGCTATTGAATCCTGATTGTCCACGGGGGGAGTTGTCCTCGGGCGGTAATCGTCATCGGTGGGAATTGTCCTCGGGGGGGGGGGGGGTAATTATCATCGGGGGTAGTTGTCCTCGGGGGGTAGTTGTCATCGGGGGGTAATTGTCTTTGGGGGGTAATTGTCCTAGGGGGTAATTGTCCTCGGGGGTAGTTGTCCTAGGGGGGGGGGGGGTATTGTCCTCGGGGGGTAATTTTCAGGGGAGTAATTTTCCGGGGGGTAATTGTCCTTGGGGGGTAGTTGTCCTCGAGGGCTGCTTCTCCGGGGGGGGGGGGTAATATTCCAGGGAGTAATTGTCCTTTGAGGGTAGTTTTCCGGGGGGGGGGGTCATTTTCCGGGGGGTGATTGCCCAGGGGGTAGTTGTCCTAGAACCCCTTTTAAGGCACTGCCGGGCACTACCAGTGCCTTAAAAGGACGTCACACTGCCTTAAAGGGATGTCACACGTGGCAGTCCACGTTCTCGTCGTGCCAATCTAAAAGTCCTATTAATGCCTCGTGTACACCGGGCATTATTATCAACAAAATTACCCCATTTAGTCCATTTTGACATGTACACTGCGAGTATAGGGGGTATTCACCTGGTCAATTTTAGCAGATTTATTGCATGCACGATTTGGCTTATATTGGATTATATTGGTGTGACTATACATGAATAAATGTGGTTTCCGGCTGAGTTTTCTTAAAGAAATCGCCCCGTGACAACCCTCAATGTAAAACAAACTAATTCGCATGAATTACATTAACCCGTGAAATATTCCTCAATATTAAATGTTTATTTACTCGCTTGATTCGTTTTTATAGAACACTGTTTTAAATGGGTGCCCATTTGAAAAATATTCAACAAATAGTATCACATTGGTCCCTATTCTTGAAAGGAATATATATATATCTATATATTTTGTTTAATGACATAACATCGCTCCATATTGGCGAGAAATATCTTCTCGTCTTTTTTACGCACTTATATTTAACTGTAGCAGGAGACAGAGGAAGCAGCAGCAGAAGAAGAGTCTACCAAATGTACGTGGTGCTCTATCAGAATGTGATCCAAATGATCAACAATACGAAGTCTCCCTGGCCGTTGGAGACGGGAATGACCACATCTATGAAGGTCTCAAGAGAACAGAAAGCAGCATAAACAACGAATCGTCTTACTTGAGCATTGATAATACAGACAAAGTCGAATATGTAAATACGAACATTTAACATCAAGGTGCTAACATGAGATGGAGTCTATTCGACGTCCAGTACTTATATTTCATTCTACGTAGAACACGATGAAAAGACTTCCGAACAAAATCAACCCAAGGCAAATTCAGTAGCCTTGCCCATCACCCATTGAAGTGTGCGATAATAGATAAGGACGTCTAACGTAATCTAAACATGATTTATTTTGGATATACATCAGGTTATTGAAATTGCTGTTGAGTTGATTTATCGAAAGTCTTTGCGATCGGATTAAGGACAAGTCCAAGCTGTCCTAGAGGTGTTGTGGTCCAGTGGATACAAATCCGGACTGTGAATCACAAGGTACAGATTTCGAATTAATCTACATTAATATACATTTGACACACTCCACCTAGGTGAGATAAATAGGTATACCTAGCATGAATTAATTCCTTTATGGCTCGAGTGCTTTAACTGCAGCCTTGCATAAAGTGACTCGGTAACATTGATGAAGATTGATGAAAAAAGTGCGTAATTTTTTTATGAAATATTATTTATTTTATTCTTTCCATTAGGGGTAACGAAATGTCTTGTTCGGTCTGTAGTCGGTCTGGTGTCGGTCTCCTTGGTGTGACTGAGGTATTACATCTAAGATTTTAGTTTATCTTATCGTAGTATATTAAGCTAATTGCCAATATAGCTTTGATCAGACCAAAAATGTGGTGACATGACGTATCTGATTTATGTTTATAACTCCACAATGCGTGGTAACCTAAGTGACACACCATCACCCAATAGCTTGTACTTGACTATGATATGCTTATATTTTTTTTTTCTTCAATTATTTTACTCGGTGAATAGCTACGATGTATTCAAGACTATGTATATATTTTATTTTAAACCAGATTTTTCGTATTTTTGTCATGCCGTGGCACATCACGATCTGTTTTCATAACCACGTTCAATGCATCCAGTTTGAAACAGAGAATCCGAAGGTGCACTATGTTTTAAAGAAAGATTTGCAGTTCAGTACTTGTGTCGAAGATTTTACTTAGGTTAGGCTATAATTGTTTCCTATAGACCCTTTCTATATTTTTTTTACAGTCTTGAAATCTCGAAACAAAGGGAAATAAAATTTCTTCATGATTTTTTTTAATGAATGCGCTTGATAATAATATCATGCAACATGATTATTTAACTAGATTCGCCAAAGGTGATTTCATGACCTTTTTCAATCGTTTTTTTACTCTACGTTTGTTTTGACGGCTTAGATTCCTTCGGATGTCACTTTGTACGTCATGTTTATTTTCATGTTTTATCAATTTTTTCTCTTGATATCATACACGATATGCTGGAAGGTGTCGTTCAGTATAAACTGCAATTAGTACTTGAGCATTTCAATTTTGACAGGCAACCACCACTCTTGTCTCTGGATGTCTTGAATCAGAGAGTTGCCAGTCATTGTAGGAACATTGCGGACAACAAAAACAAACCATTTTATGTTAAACTACGAACAGCTAGTAATAATGTAGGTCAGAAGGTAATGCAAGCTTGGTGCCTGATAAGAAACCTCCCATTCATTATTGGTCATGATATCGAGGAAGGAAACGAGTATTTGGAACTGTTACTGAAATTGCAAGATTGTATGGACATCATTTTCTCTCATTAGTTAACAGCAGGTCTAATAGCTCAGCTGCGTATTCTCATTGATGATCATCACTGGCACTTTCAAACAATATTTCCAGACAGACGGCTTCTGCCAAAGCATCACTTCATGGTGCATTACCCTACTTGTTTGCAAGAGGTAGAACCCCTCTTTAACATGTGTGGTGTATGAGATATGAAGCAACACATCACTATTTTTGCCGTGTTGCAGAATCTGTCCGTAATAATACAAATATATGTAAATCTCTTGCAAAAAGGCACCAAACCGCACATACATTCCACCTGAAATTCAATCAGCCTCTTGAATCTCTTGAAGGAGGACGTGGTAGCTCCATTCTTTTGTCAGATATTGATATTGGACACTTTATGAAAGAGAAAATCCTTGCAGTTGAACTCTTCACTGAAGTGATTGAAGCATATTGGGTAAACGTTTGTGGAACACATTATCAACGATCTCTATTGGTCTGTCATGTCAGCGAGTTACTCCTGTTTGGCCAAATACAGCACATTATTGTGTATGATACCAATGGGTTTTTTAACTTCAATTGTGGGATACATTTTATTACACATCACATTACCATGCATATTCAGTCGTAATGAATTATCTACCTAGCTATATTGTTACAAATCAAAGGATCTTGTCGATTTTAAACATCACGATTTAATGACAACCTTTTCGAAGACAGACAATGGAAAGTATGTGGCACCAAGAAATGTTCTGTTCCAGTAAGTCTGAACCTTCCTTTTATTGCTATAGGTGAAACCAAGCCTTTTCTTTCATGAAAAATTAAAAGGATATAATTTATCACAAGCTTGTATGAAATCCGGCTATCGGTGTTGTACAGCAAGATAATCTCTATTGACAGAAATACAGCAGTTCTGGATTACACATGAAACAGTTTCATTTTGATAAATGTGAATTTAAATGTATTGTTTTTCAGGGGAAGGATTTGTGATGACTGTGCATGAAAACCAACAATTTGGAGATACACAGCTCGGTGATTTTCTTTCCTTTCCTGGAACAAAGTACACTTGAGAATTCCAAAATGATGTTGCCATGGTTTTATCATTTGTTCTCTTGGAAAGTGGTGTTGACGTTCTCAAATGTTTTGTCAGTTATTGATGTTTTTATTAAATGCCATTGATGCATTTTTCATGTGTTCAGATATGTGTTGGTATGTATAAAACGAAAATAATGCAAATTTGTTAAATGCCTGAAAGTAGTGTATATTTACTACAATATAAGATAAGAAGACTTTTGTTTTTTCACCCCTCATAGAAGGAGCTATTTCTAGATGACAGTTTAATCCTTGTAGGTTGGCAGCCAGTGCTTAGCAATAATAAATGTTATGGTTTGCTAAAGTTTGGTCTTATGTGATGAACATTTCTGGCACATTGTTTTCACCCTCTTTTGAATGATGTAAATGTTGTACAGACGTTAATGTGTAGAGTTACAGGCATTTTATCAGCAGGTTAATATTTTACAAATGCCATGTAGGCTGAGTAAATTTGCATAAATAAGATGGAATACTTCAGAAGGGGTTTAGATGTGAATTTAAATGTATTGTTTTCCTTGGGAAGGATTTGTGATGACTGTGCATGAAAGCCATCAATTTGGAGATGCACAGTTTGATGTTTTTTTTTCCTCTCCTGGAAAAAAATAAATTTGAGAATTCCAAATAGATTTAGCCATGGTTGGTTTCGTTATTTATTCTCTTGAAAAGTGGTGTTGGTGTTTTCAAATGTTTTGTAAGTTAATTATCTTTATAATGCCGTTGATGCATTTTCCAAGTGTTCTGATATGTGTTGGTATCGTATAAAACGATGATGATGCAAGTCTGTAAAATGCCCAAAAGTAGTATATATTAACTAAAAATATAAATCAAGAAGACTTTTGTTTCGTCACCCCTCATAGATTTTCTCTTCTTTTGAAGGATGTAGATGTTTTACAGACGTTAATGAATAAATATGTAAAGTTACAGGCATGTTATCTGCAGGTTAATATTTAATAAATGCCATGTAGGCTGGTAAATTAGCATAAATGGGACCCTGAAGCAATCAACGGGATACTTCAGTAGTGGTTTTGATTTCTGAATCGTCTGCAAACCACATGCAAGCAGTGTGTTGCTCCTACGCGACATTACAGTTGAACACGGTTGACATATTTTATATATTTGTATGATCGATCATCCATCTTTATAATTTTCCCCAAAATATGGAATTAATTCAGCAAAGTAATCATGTTGTTGCTAAATATCAACGGACACGATACTGCATACATTACCTAAGAATATTGCAATCAGTTCACAACATGTCAATTCCAGACTCGGTTAATCTGATACGGGACGCCAATATTTATTTCAACATTATTTTGTGATGTTTCAGCCATTTTTCTCAAATCAGCTCAAAAACGGCTGAATTATCAAAATAGATTTGCAGGTTGGCAGATGATTTGAAAATGAAACCAATACCGACCTATCCCATCAAGTGAAGATTGTGAATAACATTTTGATAGTTACTTACATCGTTGACTTCCAGCTGCATATAATTCCCCCCCCCCCAAAAAAAAACAACAACAACAAACAAACAACAACAACAACAACAATAAACAAAACGGTATGGCACCTTCCAATAATTGTTCATAATTATCATTCACACACTCAGGAGTTTTACATCAAGTGAAGGTTTATTAACAAATTGTAAATTTAATTTATCACTCTCCTGATTGATTTTGGTGATAGATCTTCTGTTACGTATCCCTATATTTGAGCCTTTAATACCTCCTTCACATACACGGATTTTTCTCACGAGTCCTTACGGATCGCAAACTCGTAGTCAATCGCAAGCATCCGTAAATAACTCGTTGGTATCCGTAAACAAATCGTTACAACTCGCAACAACTCGTAGACACTCTTAAGGATCCGTGAAAGGAGAGGCAATTTTGTTGACATGTCAAAAATCTTCTTACGATTTTCCACGGATGGATTTGTCCGTAAATAGCTCGTAAAAAGCTCGTAACAATTCGTAACCATCCGTAAACCGCTCCCAACAACACGTAACCATCCGTAAACTGCTCGCAAGAATCCGTAAATGACTCGTACCAGATTTTTGTAACGATTCGTTACGGTTAGTTTACGATGTGTCACACGGCCATGTTACGGACCTGCGGATGCCTGCGTATATTTGGATAATGAAAATGCGTAATTTTTAACCCCAATACGGAAATTTGAGCAAAAGTTACCTATATTCTGCGGACGATACGGATTAGTTACGGATGTTACGTATGAATTACGGATGTTACGGGTAAAACCTGCGGATGAACCCATCCGCTGCCAACCCGCTGACACATGTTACTGACGACTTACGGATGATACGGATGACGTACGGACGATACGGATGACTTACGGACGATACGGATAAGTTACGCTCGTGTCTGCGCATGTCGGCTTCCTCTGGCGTCCGCACCATCCGCATATAAACCCACGTGGATCGGAGCTTGCTTCAGTCGCATTTCATCAAGTCTGAGATCTAGTTCCAGTTATTCAACAGTTTCTTCTCCATCTTTTTGGACTTTCGTGTGCATCATGTCTGGCAGAAGAAGTAGCAGAAAAACTAGGAAGAATCCTCCAGTGAGTGAGCAGCCACAACAGCCTCCCCAGGCAGAGGAAGAGGCTCAAAAGGTAGAAGAAGAGGGACCATCCCTGGCAGAGCTGACGGTTCCCCCACCCCCCAAAGATGACCGTGGCAAGGGACGTGGAAAAAAGGGCAAGGCAAGGGACAAGAGGAAGCGTAGAGGTAAAAAACATCTCTTATTTTATCTTTTTTTAGTGCCATTTATCTTTTTAGTGCCACTTTTTTTAGTGCCACTTAGTGCCAATTTGAAAATGGTGATTTTTGGAATTAAATTAGTGCCACAGATTTAAACATTTCTCAGCTTTGCTTGTTGGCTCTTAAACTTGTAAAATAATCCAATAAATAAAAAAAAAAACTTTGGGTTGGACTGGGGGGTGGGGATTTTTTAGGGTTTGGCTGGGGGTGGGGGTGGTCTCATATTTCCATGGTGATGGCAGCATTTATTATTTGACACATTTTCACTATGTTTCAGGTTATAATGAATAATTTCACTTTCAGGTTAATACTTGCTGCTTTATCCAATTTTGTTTAAAACATTGTCATCTGTTTCTTTTCAGATTCCCATGAAGACAGTGATGCTGAGGAGGTCCAGTCGGAGGCAGCCCAGGAGGAGGCAGACTCGGAGGATGAGGCAGAGTCAGAGGTGCCTGTGACAGAGAAGAAGTGGAGGAAAGCCAAGGCCCCAGCTGTGAACCTGACCCCAGAGCAGGAGGAGGACATCTCTGAGTGGCTCAAGCTGAACCCTTGGCTGTGGGACAAAAATGTAAGTTTTCAAAGTCTCCATTTTATTTTACAGCCCATTTCACCTGACTGGGTCCAAAAAATTGATACCTACTTTGCAAAGTTGCTAGCTGTGGAAGGTTGCAACTTTGCAATCTTGGTAATAAATATTGTCACCAGTCATGTGAAATATACACTGTAATTTAACAAGATTAAGTTGGACATGTTTACCTTGGCTAAAAACTTTGCAATGTTGGTAACAAATATTGTCACCATTCAGGTGAAATGCAATGTAATTTACAAGGTTATTCAGAGACAGACAACCTAGGCCACAGACTTTGCTTTTATTTGACTGTACTCATTTCAGGTACAATATTTAATGTTTAATGTTTAATATTTAATGTTTCTTTCTGTATGTTGCAGGAGAAGGACTATAGGCTCCGAGACACCAAGCAGGGCGGATGCAATGACAAGGCTGCAGAGATGGGTCTGACTGCAGCCGAGTTGCGGCGCCGTATCAAGACTCTGAAAGACATTGCTGTGAAGGCGCTGAAGCCTCCCCCCTCCGGTGCAGGTGGCAGGATCTGCACCCCCAGCAGCAGAGATGTGTGGAGCTGTTTGGCTTTTTGGCCAAGAAGGTGGTGAGGAGGCCAGGCCGGACCACACTGAAAGTAAAGTGGGGGGCACCAACAAAAAAGGGCATTTTCTGGAGAAAAAAAGGGCACCTACAGTGGGAAATCTCAAAGCGAAAATATACAATTTTTTAGACATTGGTATATACCCCTACATTGTGATTACATTATCAGGGATGATTTCAATATTTTTTTCTCTTCATACATCATACAAGATATCGCTTAAGCAGCATATTTTACAGTTGGGTGTGATGTCTGAATATGCATTTACGAGCGAGCGAAGCGAGCGAGAAAAATTTTAAAGATCTGTGAGGTCGCAGTGCGAAAAATTACATCTTATAAAGAGGGAAAAAGCCAATCGTGATGGGGTTATAAGCACATTCTCATAACGGAAGACTGAAAAGACCTTTGATAAGTAACATAATTATGTCATCTTTAAATGCGAGCGAGCGCAGCGAGTGAACTTTGGGGGAAATTGCTCTTAGTCGCTTTAAATAAGGGGCACGTTTAATGATTACATGAAAAGGGGACAATTATCGAAAGGGATAAGACACTTATTAGAAAAGAAAAGGAGCACGTGTCAAAGTACAAAGGATAATTATAAGAGGTGAAAATGAGGCATTTTTTCACCTGAAAAGAGGCACTCACCAGTGATGAAAAAGAGGCGTTTACGAAAATGGGAAATAGGCATTTGTTGACGGAAAAGGGGCACCCATCAGATTTTGATAGGGGCATTTATAAGAGGTGAAAAGGGGATAGGTCCCTTATTAGAAGGGAAAAGGGGCACGTATCATTATTAAAAGGGTAATTATCAGAGTTGAAAAGGGGCACTGACCACATATGAAAAGGGGCACTTATGAAAATGTAAAAGGGACACTTATAATAAAGGAAAATGTGCATTTGTTGAATGAAAAGGGGGCACCGTTCAGATTTTTAAAAGGGGCAGTTATGAAAAGGGGAAGGAGCTCTTTCTTCTTAATGGGGGCACTTATCATAACGAAAAGGGGCACTTATTAGAAAGGGAAAGGGGTAGTTATGAGAAGGGGAAGGAGCTCTTTCTTTTTAATGGGGGCACTTATCATAAGGAAAAGGGGCATTTGTTAGAAAATAAGAGGGGCACATGTTGAAATGAAAGGTGTGCTCATCCGAGTTTAAAAAAGGGGTAGTTATTAAAAGTGAAAAAGGGCACTTCTCGTACCTGAAAAGAGGCACTTACTAGAGATTAAAAAGGGCACTTATTCAAGATAATTTCAAGATTCATGAGAATGGAAAATGGACACTTATTGCAAAGGAAAATGGGAGCATGTCGAAGGAAAAGGGGCACGTGTCAAAAATAAAAAAGGCACTCGTCAAAAGGTGAAAAGGGGGAAGGGGCACTTTTACTAAGTAATAGGGGCACTTGTCAAAGTAAAAGGGGCACCTTTCCTATGTAAAAGGGGTACTTCTTACAAAATAAAAGGGGCACTTTTCCTTTCTAAAAAGGGGCACTTTTGGGGTATCTGAAAAAGTGGGGGCACTATGCTTTTTTTTAATCAAAACAGTTCTTTTGTAAGCATATCCTCTTTTTTTGTCAATTACAATTCGAATTTAGAATAAGCTAAAAAGAACCATATAATCTTCATCTCATTTGTCATATTTTTGAAGACTATTGCAGTTTTTCAAAATTCAGATTTCGCTGAAAATTGTGAAACCGAACCTGACAGAAAATCTTTAAATATTTACAAGCATTGGTCATTAACAATTTCATAAGCCATATACCTTACATAAACATACAAAGCAATAAAGAAACTCAATAATAAACAGAAAAGATTTACATCAGCTACGAGGGTTTGTACCATGGTAACTTTGTGTCATGATGCACTATTTTACATTCCGCGTAATACAATATGACAAAATTAAAATGTATCTGAAGTAACTGCGAGCATGAGCGTTAGTAGTAGACAATAATTTTTTAAAGGTAATACAAAGTTTTGGAAAATGTTGAAAATTGGGTGGATAGTGATTCTTTACAATTTTGATATATTTGGATGCCCCTGCGGATGTATTATAAGCACTAGAAAATTTAGCCCCTAAAACACTTCTGCTTTCGAGAAAAATTGAATATAAAAATTTACCGGTGCTCCCGGTAAATTTTGATGAATTTTAAATAGCGCCTACGGCCGTACAATAGTAGTTACGACCGTGAAAATCTCTGAATATGTAGTTGTGATATATAATTTCCAAACGGGAATAGCTAGTTGGTCGATTTTAGTCAAGAAACATTGTTTTATACCTTAAATAATATCCTGACCTTGAGAGGGAGCTATACAGCCTAAAGAGTTAATTATTTATAACTTTAGACTCGATTTCAACCGCGACAACGATCACTGAATATTGTAGGATCGCATATGCTTCCAATGTGTTCATTTGAACCAAATTCATGTCCCCATACCAAAACTTTGTATTACCTTTCATATCTTACTCCTAGGATGATGTTTATGTTTTACCCATTCTATTTATTTATTTATTTATTTATTATCTGTCTGTTTATCAGTGTCTTTTTGTTATCATTATGTTTGTTATTATCATTATTATTATTATAATTATTATTGTTGTTATTATTACAACTACTACTACTATTACTATAATAATTATTCCTATTATCATCATCATTATAATTATTATTATTTTCTTTTGGATATTATGATGATCGGTTATCAACATCGTCGTCATCACTATGATTTGCGTACAAATAGGCTTTCCTTCTTTGGAAGGGATTTGTTATTTATTTATTATTTATTCGGCAATTCACACAAAATATAACAATGTAAATATAAGTAAACAAACATTAGAGAATATCAATTATAAATGCACAATCTTCCTGGAGGTCCTCTGAGTGCATCAGTTGGCTGCCGGGGAAGAGGAAAGCTCACTAAATCACTGTAACGGTAATGGTCCCTCTTCCCGACCAACTGGTGCAGCCAGAAGACCTGCAAAATATAGCATAAAGGTAATTAAAATGTCTAACATTTCATAAACAAACCAGGTGACAAAAACAAAGCACAAGGAGGAAATCATATTAATATGTATGATGACACTAGATCACGACACGATCGATCAAAATATTTCATTGCAAAATATGGAAGCATGAACATGGACGGAAACGGTTACTTCTATTCTAAAATAAGACAGGGTGATATAGCAAATTTGTTATTTGAAACTGAAAGTAGAAGATTCATGTCAACAATCCCAGGGAACAAAACGGGAGATTCCAAGCTTGTTTAAGGTCCTTTCGGCGCGAGACACGTCCTCAACGTCCATTTCACATCCAGTCTATGTTCATTGTGAAGTACAATGATAAATATGCATGATTATTTATTCAACTTTCTCTTTCTTTTTCTTTCTTTTTTTCTTGTTCTTGTTTTAAGCCGCCCACAGTGCACTTAGGAAAATACACAGAAAGACAAATAATTAAACCGAGAACTTGTTCTTTCGCTTACAAATAGGCTTTCCGTCTTTCATTGCAGATTATGGAAGCATGAACATGGACGGAAACGTTTAATTTTATTCAAAAATAAGACAGGATGATGAAGCAATTTTTTAAATTTGAAACTGAAAGAGGAAAGTTATTGTCAACAAGCCCAGAAAACGAATCAAAATTGAGATCATTTCAGCGCGAGACAGGTCAACGTTCATTTCTCTTCCAGTCTATGTGCATGTACATACATTTTGAAATACAATCATAAATGAATAGCATCTGTTACTGACATCAACTCCCATCAATTTGTTGATTTAACATGAAGTTTGCCTCCGAGGAGACGGTGTTCGTTACTATCGCCATTGCAGCCATCGTGTCTTTACAAGGGGGTAAGTATACTTAGACATATATATTCATGTTCGTCATAAAAACTCATTGCATCTTTTCTGTTTTAATTTGTTTTGTGTGCTTTATTACTTGTGAAATATTATTCAAGAACGATTAAATAATTTCAGGGTACTTTTAACAGAGAGACCGAATGCCATGTTTCAAACCATAAGCGAGTTTTCGCAACCAGCGACGCGGCATTCTACAACGCTAATCTTAGCGGGGGGTTCGCACTCTGAGCGAAAATTTCCGCGTAGCGTCCAAACCTACGAAGGTATTCAGCTGTATCAACGTCGGGAGTCGAGTTAGTACAGGGTGGCGAGCTCATTTAAATACTCCGTAGTCAGCATTTCCGTCGCCGTGCGAAAACTCCCTAATAGAATGCTTTAGCAACGCGACGGAAGGCAAAGAGGACGGGAGAATTCACTCAACCGAGATCGTCCTGTCCTACGCGCCCGTCTTCATTTGTAACCTGTATATAGAGCGCTTCCGCAAACACGACGGAAGGTAAAGACGAGGGTAACCGAGCAAGATAATCAACGCTGCAGCACCCTCCCTCATTTTTTTGTTTTTCGGGGGAATGCACCTCATCCCCTGTATTGGATGGTGCTGCTGCACGGGGTGCTTTCTACCAAGTTTGGAGTGAGAGGGCACCCAGAAATGTAAAGACATTATTTTCGTGAAAAGCCACCTTCAGCGCCCTATTTAAAAAGGGGAAAAGATCACTTACAATTAGACCTACCGTGGGGTGCTGTTAACTATATCTGCTGTTCTCTAGTAATTTCCCCCTTTTCAGGTACGAGAAGGGCTCCTTTTCACGTTTGATAAGCGCCCCCCCCTTCACCTCTGACTATTGCTCTATTCAAATTTAAGAGGTTCCCCTTAGTTTGCTTTGAAAAGTTCCCCTTTTCCTTTGTAAAAAGTGCCCCTTCTCCTTTTGATAACTACCCTTCTTTTACTCGAATAAGCGCACCTTATATTTTCACATGTGCCTCCTTTCCTTTTGAGTAAGTACCCCTTTTCCTTATTAGTGCCCCAATTTAAAAAAGAGCCCCTTCTCCCTTCTCATAAATGCCCCTCTTCATCTATGACAATAGTTCTTTTTCATTCTCATTAGTGCCCCTTTTCATCTCTTGTAAATGACCCTATTCAATTCTGAGAGATACTCGTTTTACTTTGACAAGTGCCCCTT